GTTGTACATTTGCTGTCATGTTAAACTTATATTAAAGTTTTTCTTCATTACCCATTTAAGCCGTCTCCAGCCATTATATAACACTAAGAAATCCGAAGTGTTTCCTATCAACCCTCCAGGTAATTTTGTGCACTTCACCAAGATCTATCTTTCTCTCAAGATTAGTGATCTTAAGCTATCCCCGTAGAATAACTTATCCCAGGAATCTTCCTAGTAAACTCCCTTTTTTTCCGATTCCTCTTCACAAATTCAATTCGGTATCTTTTCTTGATTAAAGTCATCAGAACAATACAGTATTCCAAGAGAGGCCTAACTCGTGACTTGTATCGAGATAATTACTTCTTACCTTTTAATAAGCGGTTAAAAATACACCCTAAAACTCGACTACCTTCATTACGAATAATGCCAGTATTTCTTCAGTAACTTGGGTGACTTCCATCAATAAAATATTTTCATAGTCGTGTTGAGTGGGCTCCGAACTATAAACTAAACGAGTTATTTTGCTATAATTAACGATCAACTGAAACAGATTTATTAGTATCAAAACCGTTATATTGTAGCTAGTTTAGTGTAAACGTTGAAGGCCGAAAATCTGTTTTTAATAAATCTCGTATTTTGTGTATGATCACCGAATCATTACTCAATGTTTGAAACTAAATACTTGAGACAGCGGTATGCTGTTATAATTAAAGCATTCTAGATTCCCACTGTAAATGTGATGGTCGGCTAGGCTAGAGACGACGGTATTGTATTTTTTTCATCTAACCATTCATCACTCAAGTAATTCAGAAAATATTCCTTTGTTTTTATCTATAACATGGGAAACAAAACCATTTCTCCATTTTCCTAATAATTAGTATTATTAACTGCAATAAAACATTGTGTTACAATTCATATTAAGTATTGTAAACCATTTGTTTGGTCTCTAGTATGCTATAAAAATATGCTTCTATTTGCGATAAATTATATTCTAGGAGGCGTGTCTTAAAGGTCACCTTGGCTATGTGCTCAAAACTGATCAATATTGCGTTGCCATGGTTTCTTTGACGAAATCCCGATTCACTAGTGTTGGCGTTGTGCTAAACTTTGTTTGTATAGACACACTATTCATGATGGCCGTTTGTGTTTACTTCAACAATAGTGGAGATTTTGAATTTTCTCAAATTGATTGTTTGATTCATTAGCTCTTAGTTTTTTTAACTGTTTTTGAGCTAACAAATTCTTATTTTCATCCACCATAAACTTCAAACGTATGAACTTTACTGACACACAAAAGCATCGCCTACATAATACTGAAAACCCTCACGCCTACGAAGATCTGTTTATAAGCGCCCGTATTTCGCGTTTCTTTTTATCTCCTAAATACTATCAAAGGTGAAAACGTAGAAATAAAATAAAGATTACACATGGGGGAATTTGCATCGCGCATCCGTAAATAATTATGTTGAACACTTTCGGGTGAAATTCCTAGTTGAAACTGAAAGGATAAACCAATTTTGTTAAATGCTATTTTACACTAATGAAAAGACTGGTAACAGTTGAAGTAGAATTAAGTATTTTTATTGGTCTCTCAAACTCTTGTATTAAAATTAACAATGCGAAATGTTAACTGCATAGTGTCAGTCAAGTAACTTGGTGGCTGTTTTTAACAATAAGTAATTTTATGGTGAGTCTCGGAGACACCACTATGAACAGCCGGTAAACTTCTGCGAATAATATTGTTTTATTGTGAATTTAACTTTCACTTAGCTTTCTTTATAACTTGAACGATGGAGTAGTTACTTTAGTATACACACGTGTACTTAATAGCCCGAAGGGAAAGTTTCAAATATAATAATTTTTCTTAAAATATTTTCTTGCAGATGAAAGGTGATGTTTTACCTTTTTGAAACTCCACGAATACGTACGTCTAGAAGAGACTAATCCGTTTAATTCTTTCTTTTCACCAACAATGCATATTTAGCATTTCAAAATGTAACCCTTAAAGGAATTAATCTGTTAGCTTTATATTTGCTAGGGTTTTAGTATGTACAAAGAAACGAACATTTGCGAAATCAGCGTGTTCTTGTTGTGACGTTTGAAGGCGTGGTGGTGACGTAGACATTTTTTCAAATCTACTGCTCATGCGCGATTATTTAAGATGCTGGTGTATATTTCTACCAGGATTGACGCTCCCACGAATTGAACCAATGAGAGCTCACCTGGAGAAATCCGACTGAAATGTATAAAAGCCAGTGTTTACATAGATGTTCTAGGTTGTTCCAGGATGTAAAGATGAGTGCTTGAAGAAGATAGTGATGCTTTTATACTGAACTAGCTAATTGTTAATCTTAATATTACTTTGACCACATTCAGAAGACTAGAGTACATTAACAATTGTCAAATATTCAAATAAGCGCCAGTTACTATATTTTTAAAGAAACCAAATGCCGTACATACGACGAGCCGTAAGTAATTGCAATTTGTAGTGAAATTATTTGAGGTTGTAGTTTCACACAATTCAAAGTAACTTGTGTTCAGTCCTTTACACGTAAAGGTTTATTTACGAACGTATCAGGCATAAAGTAAACGTTGCATAACTATCCGGTACCAGAATTTTTAATTTTAGTTATTTATTTTACTCTTGTCAAACGCTAATGTTTGTTTACAATATGTTCTTGTAGTGATAATTAGAACACGAAGTTTGATTTTTATTATAATCGAACGTAGTTTAAAGTTTTAATAATAATAATAATATATAAATGATAACTTCACCTTTGTGTTTTGTCATAATTTATTACTAAGGATTGAGTAATCGGTGCTGATCTTCGTATGGAAAAAATTAACAGTTCAAATTCATTAGTAGTATATGAACTTGGTAATACTAATTATTAGGTGAATGTTAGTAGTTTGTTTTCATAAGGAATTAATTTAATAAAATATTTAACCTAGTATCAAACTTTGTAGAGGAGAAATAGACAAGTTTGTTTTAATAATAAAGAAACTTCAAATCAAACTATTTGGAAATGATGTAAAAACTCATCTACAGGGACTCACGATTTGGCATTCCTAAGTTTTGGTACTGTGTGCTGGTCTCGGGTGACCAATCGAATTTTTATTACCTACCTTACTTTATCAACTGTAAATTCAGAATATTTTATATTTAGGCCTGTGATCTTTGGTAGTGGAGTTTGGTCAGTCATTAGGTCACAGAACACAAATATGCACTGAACTCTAGTTGTTTATAATATGAATGTCGTGATTTGAGAAAGTTTATCGATATGCATAAAGGTTAAAAGTGCAAATGATAACTAATTTTTTATCTCAGAATTTTTTATATAAAATGTAGATACCTTTTATAAGGACGGAAGTAATTTTCCTTTTATTATTATTATTATTATTATTTATTTATTTTTACTCACTAGGGTTTAACTCGGCAGCTGGCGTTTGCCATTGCGGCCGCAGCTCTAGGGTCGTCGTTTCAACATGGTTACAATACTGGTGTGGTTAATGCTCCCCAAGATGTAAGTAACCTTAACTTTTTGAATACAAACAAAAGTTGTAATGTAAATCTGCTCAAGATGTTCTGGTTTTATTTCTGACATATTTATCAAACACTGTCAAATATTTCTTATTGTGCAAACAATCACGTTAATGTACAACAAATATTCGTATTCTACATTTCTTTTCATCAAAGGTACAGTTAGCTAGATATGTGATGTAGAGGCCTAATATATTGTTTGATTCGGCGTATCCGCTGTAGTTTTATCTATTCAAGGCTTATTAGCAGAGTTTGGGTCAGCAAACCAAAGAAATACAGTTGGAGCAATTATAATGATGTATCGATAACTTCTATGTTAGCCCTTTTTAACTGTGTTGCCTTGGTTTAGACTCAACAAGCATTTTCAGAGCATCAATATCAATTCTAAGATGTCGGCCTCTGCCATCACAGTTTTTAAG